TGTATAAGTATATACACCTACTATGTACTCACAAAAATTAATAATTAAAAATAATTGTAAAAAGAGGAAGAGAAACTAGGTGTGCACATGCACAGAGGGATATGGGACAACCATGTGAATAGGCAGCAAGAGCACAGCCATCTGCAAGCTGAGGAGAGAAGCCTCAGAGGAAACCAACTCTGCTGGTACCTTGATCATGGACTTCCAGAATCAAGAACTTTGAGAATAAATTTCTATTGTCTTAGCCACCAAAACTGTGGTATTTTGTTATGGCAACCCTAGCAAGTTAATACAGCTGATATGCATAGTATAACCTGTAGGCTTTTGTGTGAACATAATTTTTCATTCTCTGGAATAAATTTTTCAAAATTGTAATTCCTGGGTCATATGGTAGTTGAATGTTTAGTTTTACTAAACTGACAGGAAACTGCCAAACTGTTTTCTATCATTTTATGTACACACCGGCAATGTATGGTATGAGTGATCCAATTTCTCAGCTTCCTTGCCAGGATTTGGTGTCATCACTTTTTCATTTTAGCCTTTCTTGTAAGTGTGTAGTGATATCTCATTGTAGTTTTAATTTGCATTTCCATGATAGCTAATGATGTCGAAAATTTTAAAAGGGCATATTTTTCATCTCTGTATCCTCTTTAGTGAAATATCTGTTTATGCCTTTTGTCCATTTTCTAGGTGGATGGTTTATTTTTTTATTGCTGATTTTTGAGACTTTAAAAATATTATAGATACTAGTTTTTTGCTGTACATATACTTTATAAATATTTTCTCACATTCTGTAGCTCATTAAAAAAATCCTTTTAAGAGTCATTTGCAGAGCAAAAGTTTTTACTTTTGAATAATTCCAGTTTATCAAGTTTTCCTCTTAAGGATCATGCTTTAGGTATTAAATCTAAAACACTTGGCCTAGTCCTATATCCTGAAGATTTTCTTATAATTTTCTGTAACTTTTAGTTTTACATTTCACATTTAAGTTCATAATCTATTTTGAGTTAACCTTTGTATAATGTGTGAGATTTAAGTCATTTCATCCCTTTTATTTATACATTTCCAATGTTTCTAACACCATTTGTTAAGAGACTATCCTACCTCCATCAAATTGCTTTTATACCTTTGTCAAAAGCAGTTGGATATATTTGTTTGTGTCTATCTCTGAGTTCTTTATTCAGTTCCTTTTATCTATGTGCTTGTCCCTCCACACAGTCTTATTACTGTTGTTGTATAAATCTTAAAATGAGGTAGACTGATTTACTCTATTTTTGTTTTTCCAAAATTGCTATAGCTTTTGTAGTTTCTTTGGTTTTCCATACATATTTTAAAATCTTGTCAATATCTACAAAAATTTTGTTGTGACTTCGATAGGAATTGTATTAAACCTACAATTCAAGTTGAGTAGAATCAGTATCTTTGCTATATTTAGTCTTCCAATGTATGAACATAGTATTTTTTTTTCCATTTAGTAGATCTTTTATTTCTTTCAATAGAATTTTGTAATTTTGAGCATACAGATACTATACATGTTTTGTTAGATTTATACCTAAGTGTTTCATTTTCTTGGAGCATTTATGTTCATGTTTTTCATTTTCATTTCCATATGCATTATTATTGTGTAGAAATATGATTGATTTTGTATCTTGATCTTATATTCTGCAACCTGTAGATCCCTATACTATACAACCTTTTGGTTTATTTATTTATTTATTTTTAGACATGGTCTGGCTCTGTCACCCAGGCTGGAATACAGTGGCACAACCGCAGCTCACTGCAACCTCTGCCTCCCAGGCTCAAGCCATCTTCCCACCCCAGCCTTCCAAGTAGCTGGTACTACAGGTGTGTGCCACCATGCCTGGCTAATTTTTTGTATTTTTTGGAAGCGGCGGTTTTGCCATGTTGAAGGGTTTGTCTTGAATTCCTGGACTAAAGCAATCCACCTGCCTCAGCCTCCCAAAGTGCTAGGATGACAAGCTTGAACCACCTCACCCAGCCAAATCTCTAGTCTTATTTGTTCTAGGAGGGGTTTCTTTTTCCTTTTTGTTTTGCTGTTTTCTTAGGAGTTTTCTACATAGACAATTCTGCCATATTTCAATAAAGATAGTTTTCCTATTCTCTGGGATTCCTAGTATTATGTTGAATGAGAGTGGACAGGGCAGACATCCTTGCCTTGTTGCTGATTTTGGGGGGAAAGCCTTCAATCTTTCACCATTAAGCATAGTGTTTGCTGTATATATTTTTTTGTTGTTCTTTTCCAAGTTGAGGTACTTCCCCTTCATTCTTAGCTTACTGAGAGTTTTTACCATACATGGATACTGCAGATTGTCAAATACATTTTCTGCCTTTATTGATACAATTATATAATTTCCCCTCTTTAGCCTCTTAGTATGGTAGATTACATTAATTGATGTTCAGATGATAAAGCAACATTACATTCCTGGAGTAAATCCTACTTGATTGGATTTTCTAATATTTTGTTGAGGACTTCTGAATATCTATTCAAGAGAAACTACATTGGTTTGTAGTTTCTTTCCTTGTAATGCCTTTTTCTGGTTTTGGTATTAGGGTGATGCTGCCTCAGAGAGTGAGTTAGAAAGTGTTACCTGTGCTTCTATTTCCTGGAAATGATTGTGAAGAATTAGTATGATTTCTTTAGTAAAAGTTAGAATTTCCTAGTAAAACCATTTAGGCCTGGGGCTTTCTTTTTTGAAACTTTATTAATTATTGATTCAATTTCTTTAATAAATATGGGTCTATTCAAATTATGCATTTCTTCTTGTGTGAGTTTTGGTAGTTTGTATCTTTCAAGGAATTAGTCCATTCCCTCTATGTTATCAAATTTTTAGGGATAGAGTTGTTTGTGGCATTACCTTCTTGTTTGTTTAATGAATGTCATTTTATTATTAATTTTGTATTTCTTGTTCCTCTGTGTTTCTTTTCTTAACTTTCAATAGGTTAATTATGCATTTTTTAGGAATCTATCTTGATTTACGTTTTTTGAGGCACATTGCTTTGTATAATTTTTTAGTTGATTCTAGGTATTACAATATACATACATAATTATCATCGTTTACTTGTTTTGGTACATTACCACTTTGAATGATGTATAGAAAACTTACTTCTATTTAGATTTCTTTATCATCCCCACTTTCAGAATAAAAGTTTTCACTACATTTTCTTTATAAAATTTGAATTATTACTTTTAATCCTACATTTAATGCATTTTCTATATATAAGTAGGATATGAGATGGTGTTATAATTTTTGCTTCAATTATCAAATATGACTTAATAAATCCAGAAAATGTAGGATAATCTATTATATTTATGCTTATTTTTACCCATTCTGATGATTTTTCCTTTCTGAAATTCCATGCCTTGTATTTCCTTTACATTTAAAAAACTTCATTTAGCCAGTCTTTAAGGGCAGGTTTACTAGTGACAATTTCTCTTAGTTTTCCTTTGTCTGGTAGTATATTTTCCTTTCATTGCTGAGACATATGTTTGCTGTATATAGAATTTGCAGTTGAAACTTCTTTTAGTATTTGAAAAATGCTGCATCACTTTTCCTTTGGTCTTGTTTTCTGATGAGAGGTCTACTGTCATTTGAGGTGTGTGTGTGTGTGTGTGTGTGTGTGTGTGTCTTTAATTTTTTAATTTTGTATGTTTGTGGGTACATAGTCGGTGTATTTATGGGGTACATGAGATGTTTTCCCACTTGGCCTCACTGATATCACCTGGTGAATGTAGATTGCTAAATCACACTGCCTCGTTGTAGATGGCTAGGGTCAAAGATCAGCTCCCTGCTTTTCCCTGCTGACACTTTCCATTGCAAGTGGCACACTGACTCACACCACCTCATTCCCTCCAGGTGAGGGTATAAGATCACTTCTCTGTTGTGCCCTGCTGTTCCCCAATGCTGAGGGAAGTAGACTGACTCAGGATGCTTTGTTGATGCAGCACTGGGGACAGAATAACACCTCCCACTGGGCCCTCCTAACACCAGTGAAGGGAGAGGGGAAGTGGAATTTCAACTAGCTCTGCATAACATGGCCTCATTTAGTCTCATTAATGCCAGGTTGGTGTTGCAGCTCAGCTCCCCACTGGTTTCTTCTGACACCAGGGGAAGTGGAAAGTGAAGTGCTAGCCCTGCTTAATACTGTCTCATTATTGCTGCCATTTGTGGGCCTTCCTGGCACCAGAGATAGGGGAGAGAAGAGTGTTAATAGTCCCAACTTGCAGCAACTCATTCAGTTTCCTTGATGTTGGGAGTAGGTGAAGGTTCAGCTCTCTAATGGACCCTGATAACAGTACCCTCACAGGAGAATCAGAGCATAGCCTGCTTCCCCTGTATAGGATATGGAGAACCAGATTCTTGCTTAGCTCCCCAATATCACCAGTCAGGTGAACCAGAGATCTGCCCACTTTCCTAAAGCAGGAGATGGAAGATTAGCTCCCCATTCTGCTGTACTGATATCACTCCACAAGGGAATCAGAATCCTCCATCCTTACCATCATGGAGCTTAGAGACTAGTGGGAGAGATAAACAATCAAGAAGTAAATTCAAACAAGTATGTGAATGCAACTGTGATATAGGCTATGAAGGAAAAGCACAGCCTTATGAAGAAGAATAAGCCTTTTTAAGGAAGTGACATGTCAGATCCTGAAGGATGAAAGGGAGCCGGTAATGTGAAGGTGGAAAAGGGAGTATTCCAAGCAGTGAAAATAGCAAGTGAGATGGCATTGTGGCAAGAAAGGACCTGGGTATTCATGGAAGTAAATGCAAGTCCAGAATGGAGAAACTGAGGTGGCAAAGTAGTGACAGAGTGAGGCTAGACTGTTAGCAGGTTCCTGACCATCCAGGATTATGAGGGCTATGGTAAATACTGGAGATTTTTTTCCCTTAAGTGTGGAGACTAGGAATGAAAGATTTTCAAGAGGTGCAGGAGTATGCTTTTTTTTTTTTTTTTTTTTTTTTTTTTTTTTTTTTTTTAACCAGGGGAAAGCGTGAATGCAGTCCCCCCCCACCACCACAAATTATGCAGTCGAGTTTCCCACATTTGGGGAAATCGCAGGGGTCAGCACATCCAGAGTGTAATGGATAAGCCTTGCCCTGGGAAAACCACCTTTGTGATTATGATATCTCCCCTGCCAGTTAAGTAGGAGTATGCTTTTATTTAACCCTTAACAAAAGATCACCCTGGATACTGTGAAAAAAGTAGATTAGAAGAGTGGAATAGAGATACCAATTCAGATGCTGCAGTAGAAATCAAGATGCAAAATGATAGAAGCTTGTAAACAGGTGTTGGTGGAAATGGAGAGACATAGATTTGAAATAAAAACAAATTCATTGTCATCGAGGTGTGTGTTTTTAGAAATTTGAGTATCTAATCGCATTAGCATTATATAAACTCATAAAATCATAGTCCCTATGGAGACAAAGTATGTTTCCTTCTGTTATATATAGGTATGAGTTTATTGACTACTGAATTTACTTTCTCTATATCATTTCTGATAATTCTTATGGTAATGTAAGTAGGCCTAGAAATGAACCCAAATCCATAGAAGATGGCACCCTGTTAGGCTGAAAACACACCTGTGTGTGCTTAAACCATTAAAATAATCCCACATTGGTCCGTCTTTGGGAAACAATGAGGCTATTTTCCAGGGAGCAAAGATCTGTGGGTGAGGAGAAAAAAAGAAAGGATGATGGAACCCTCCTTAGTCCAGAATAAGCCATCAATAAATATGAGCTGATGTTAGACTAAGTTTAATTCCATTTATTTTAGTGAGAAAGCTTGTATTTTAAAGTCTTAGTCTAAATGACAGTAATAATTTACAAATCCATAAACATTTGGAGCAGGGTTTTTTTCTGTCATGTGGTTAATTGTTTATTTTATGAAAACATGTTTGCCTGTATAATTAAAAGCTTGATAGATAACATGTGCATTGAAAAATTTAAAGTTAACATTTTATAAGCCAAACATCTCCTGAAATTTGTTTAAAATTAAACAATATTCTTTTATACTATGTTCTTTAATAAGTAAATATGGATTGCTTATAGACATTATTTCTCAAGAGCATATCTCTATCAGTCAGGATTCAGTTGTAAGAAACTAAAACTGCTCTACCTTTATAGGCATTTAATACAGGACTGGGGATCTCCAAAAAATATTGGCAGGACTTAGAGGAATTAATTCTGATCTTGGCCTCTAGAAATGAATCTCAGAATAATACTGTAGAACTAGGCTGCTCACATCAGGAAGGCAGGGAATTGGGAACCCTTCCACTTGAGTTCAAGGACACACAGCCATGGCTGTACTTGGAGAATCAGAAGTCACCATAACTGCAGCTGCAACTTCACCCCATAAAGCTGTTGTCAGGGCATCCATGGCCAAGTTCACCCCCATCACCAGTAAAACTACCTTTCAATACCAGCTAAGCTAGTGGTACAGAAAACCCAACATCTTTAAGACTTTGTTTGTTAGCAACAACAAAGCAGCAGGAAAATGATTCTCAAATCACCTTCTACCTTCTAAATCTCATGAAAGTACACCTAATTGGTGGAACCTAATTTGCATCCAAAAACATAACTGTAAGGGAGGCAGATGTTATTTTTCGAGGCTTGGCAATACAAAAACCCATGCTAATGGGAGGCAAGAGAGTGTGTAGAATGGAATTCACCAGACTTACCAGCTCTTTTGCTACTGAAGATTGTACGTATTTGTCTTCCTATCCTTAAGCTTCCAAAAAAATAGCAATGACCTTATGGTGATGCCTAACAGAATGCAACTCTTTCTGGTAAAAGCAAAACTAGGGACATCTTCTTCCCCCAAAGGGGATATCCAGGGTCTCAGAAGTCACCAAATCCATCTTTGCTTGATACTCATTTGTTTTATGGTTTGTCATAATCCTACCTTGATAAACTGTAACTTAAAAACTATTATAAGCTTAATTATTACCAACATATTTTACATAAAATAGTTGGGGAAAGGGAAAAATATATGTATATTTGTGTATGTATGTGTGTAAGAAAGGGAGAAAATATGAGTACCTATTTAAATTCTCATTTTGAAACTTGTTACAAGACCAAGGTCTCAGGACTGTATATAAATTGCTTCTTCCTCTATCTTTTCTGTATCCTTTTGCCACCAGCCAGCACCTCTGGTTAAGGCCCTTTACTTGATTCATGAGGTGACTTAAAACTTTTCCTGAGAGGCATGGGTTCTTCATTTTTTTTTTTTTTACTGGAATTCAAAAGTATACTCTCATCTCTGGTTTATATATAGCCTGCCTTTATTGATTTGCTGTTTATTTAACTAAGTTTAGTCATTTTTTTTTATATTAGAATAAGCATTGTCAATACAACCATGCAAAACAAAAGATAGGACCTTGGGAGTAACCTCCATACATTACCCTCTTTTATCCCCCCATTTCTGTCCATTTGAAGCCTCATCAACCTGTTTCCCCTCTGTATGAATCTTTGTTCCATTTATATATATTTGTATTGAATAGAAATATATTTTTAAAGAATATACTTTAACATTTTAATTTTGTTTTACTTTATAGAATATGTATCATGCTGCAAATAATATTGGAGTTTTTTAAATTTAACATTATTTTGGTAATAATCATGCATATTGCTGTGTGTTGGTAATAGTTCATTCATTTAAACTGGTTTATATTAGTGTCTGGTTTATGTCTGTATTTATACAATAGTTTATTAATCATCTCTTCCATTAATGGGATTTAGGGTTATTTCTAAGCTCTTTATGTTGTTAGCAGTACTGCTATAAACATTCTTGTACGTATTCCAGTTTTATATATGTAAGAGTTTATTTGGGCATATGCCTGGGAGTGGAATTGCAAGCCATAGGCTATATAAACCTTCAATTTTAGGGGGTAATGTTAAACTGTTTTTCAAAGTGGTTGCAGAAATTATTACCTTCAGAATCAATGTGTAAGTCATATGGTGAATATACATCATCTCTAAAATAGGTATTGTCAGACTTTTAAATTTTTTGTTAGTATAATGTATATAAATTGTTATCCCATTGCAGTATATTGATTTGCATTTTCACAGTCACCATTGATATTAAACTCTCTTCCTACATTTTTTTTTTGGCCCTGTGTTTTACCTAGGTTGTTTGTGCTTCTCTTATGGTTGTATAGTATTACTATAGATCATACATATTGAAAGATCACTGTGGACCCCATTAATATGTATAATTATTATTTATTAATAAAAAATAAAATAAAAATAAAGAAATTTTAAAAATTTAAAATAAAGTTTGAATTCACTGCTAAAAAAATAAAAAAGAAATAAAAAGAATTTCTTTACTAATTCTTTCTTAGCTGTGTGTATTCTCCATCTGGCATTCCATAATGTACCTTATCTTTCTTATTTGCTTTAAGATTTTTTTAATGCATCAAAATATTGTCTAAATTATCAGGAAAAGATGGCTGACTATGCTTTCTTCATCCTCCCCTTCACCAAAAGTGACCAAAACATGAATAAAAAATAAAATGAATAAAAAACTGTATTTCAACTGGAGTGACTGAGAAAGTATGGTGGAGAGTGCTAAGGGAATACCAAAATCCTTGTGGAGCATGGAAGACCAGGTTATAACCACAGAGAGGCAAGTAAGGCATCTTTCCTCTGCCACGTGGTCTCCCCACTGGGATTGGCTTAGAGTCAGAGTGTCTTATTTTTCCAAGGAAAAGGTAAGCCAGACATCCCCATTTGTCCTCACTGCTACATAAAATACCAGCAATCCTTGCTACAGGAGACTTCCCCAGTTCTCATGGGCCACAAATCTGGTTTGGAGAGTAGCTGGGAGTTTGTACAGCTGCATTGCCTTAAAGTAGGAGCTATCCTTTAGTACTCTCTATCCTCATGACCTAAATTGCTACTGTATAAAACGTCTAACCAGACCCATGGCTAGAGTGCATCCTATCCTGGGGGCCAGCATCCCCACTGTCATTGTCATTCTACTATGTTAACAGAAGTGCCTGTAGCACCACTACCCCAAACCACAAATACTGGAATTATAGCCATTTCACAAATGAGAAAGATAAAGGAAACAAGGTTTAGCAGCAAAGAAAACCACCAAACCACAGAGGTACACAAGAGAGCAAGAAAGGACCAAAGGATCTATAAAACAACCAGAAAACAATTAACAAAGTGGCAGGACAAACCCCTTATCAATAATAACCTTGAATGTAATTGGATTAAAATTTCCAATTAAAACATACAAAATGGCTGAATGGATTAAAAAAAAGAAAAAACAAGACTTAACTATTTCCTTCCTACAGGAGACTTGCTCATGTAAAGATACACAGACTGAAAGTGAAGGGAGATGTTCCATGCAAATGCAAACAAAAAACCAGCACTAGTAGTCACACTTATGTTGGATAACTGTATTAACTTAATGTCAATAACTGTAGAAAGATACAAAGAAGCTCATCATATGAAATTAAAGGGATCATTTCAACAAGAGAATATAACAATTACAAATATATATGTACTTAACACCAGAGTATCCAGACATATAAAGAAGATATTATTAGACCTAAAGGTAGAAATAGACTGCAATATGATAATAGTTGGGAACTTTAACACCCTGCTTTCAACAATGGACAGATCATCTAGAAGAAATAATCAATTAAAAACAAAAAACACTGGACTTAAACTGCACCATAGACCAAACAGACCTAACAGACATTTACAGAACATTCCATTAATAACTGCAGATACACATTTTTCTCAACTGTACATGAAACATTCTCCATGATGGATCACGTGTTAGGACACAAAACAAGTCATAACAAATTTAAGAAGAGAAAGAAATAAAAGACATTCAAATAGGAAATGAGGATATCAAATTGTCCCTGCTTGCCCACGACATGATTTTATATATATTAATAGAAAATTCTGAAGACTCTACCTAAAAATTATAAGAACTTACAAATTCAGTAAGGTTGCAGGATACAAATCAGTGTATAAAAAATGGCAGTATTTTTTACAGTAATAGTAAATTATCAGAAAACAAAGTCAAGAAAAGAATTCCATTTATAACTATTAATACTACAGAAAGAATGAGATACCTAGGAACAAACTTACCTAAGGAGGTTAAAGATTTCTATACTGAAAATTGTAAAAC